GTCGCGTCTTCGGCATGGAAAGCATCGATATGTTTCTTGAATTGCCAAAGAGCTTCCTCGGGCTCCCAACTTGCTTCGCTCTCCGGAAGACCCTTCCATTGGATCAAGTATTCTCACTTCGGCGCACGATATCTCTTCCGTATGACTCGATCCGCCATGATGAAGTCGACGTCTTGATCATAGGAGGTCTTTGCTCCAAGCGGTGCCCATTGCGACTCCCCTCGATCCGGGTCCTCTTCGTTTACACGGAAAGGTTTAAGCATACTCACATGGAATACCGGATGTACCTTAAGCTTTGGTGGAAGTTCCAGTTTGTATGCGACATTCCCGACTCGATGCAACACTCGGAATGGCCCCTCGTAGCGACGTATAAGCCTTTTATGCATGTCCTTGTATCGGAGCACAAGGTGTAGCTTGGCCAACACCAAGTCCCCGACTTGGAATTCCACGTGCCGTCGCTTCTTGTCGGCCCACTTCTTCATGCGCTTCGAGGCCTTGTGTAGACACGTTCGCGTCAAGTCCGCCTGCTCATGCCACTCCTTGGCGAACTTGAAAGCGGATGGGCTACTCCCCTTATAGCCCGTTGCAACCGTACTTGGAGTGAGTGGTTGTTGTCCCGTCGCGATCTCGAACGGACTTTGGTTCGTGGACTCGCTCTTTTGAAGATTGTAGGAGAATTGGGCTACATCGATCAACTTCGCCCAATTCACTTGTGTCGTACTTACATAGTGTCGAAGGTACAACTCCAAGAGTGCATTGACTCGCTCCGTTTGTCCGTCGGTTTCGGGATGCACGCTCGTGGAGAAGTTGAGATTCGACCCTAATAATTTAAAGAGTTCAGTTCAGAACCTACCCGTGAATCGAGGGTCGCGATCGCTCACGATCGTTTGTGGCACTCCCCAATATTTGACGACGTGCTTCAAGAATAGCTTGGCCGCCTCCTCGGCCGGACAATCTTTTGATGCGGGCACGAACATCGCGTACTTGGAAAATCGATCCACCACGACCATAAGAGTCCGACACCCTTCGGACTTTGGCAAGTTGACAATGAAGTCCATTGAGACACTCTCCCATGGACGTTCCGGGATGGGAAGTGGCTCCAAAAGCCTCGTCGACGACCGTTGTTCAAGCTTATCTTGTTGGCATACAAGACATGTCCGTACATATGCCTCAACGTCGTCGCGCAAGGCCAAAAGTATTGATCCTCCACAAGCGCCATAGTGCGGTGGATCCCCGGATGACCCGCCCACTTGGAATCATGGCACTCTGGTAGGATTTCCTTCCTTAGCTTCCCATTGAGGGGCACGTACAACCGTTGTCCCTTGGTGTAAAGCAAGTCGCCTTCACACCAAAATTGCCGGGTCTTGCCTTCCCGAGCATGGTCAAGGAGTGCCTTGGCGGTTGGATCATGTTTGAGCCCTTCCTTGATCCGCTCGTTCCATGGATTCTCGGGACGAGTTAGGGTCGATGCCAACCCCGCCTTTCGACTAAGAGCGTCGGCCACGGAGTTCGCCTTCCCAAGCTTGTACTCAAGCACATAATCGAACTCCGCCAGGAAATCTTGCCAACGAGCTTGCTTCAGGCTTAACTTCTTTTGGGTTTGGAAGTAGCTCGTGGCCACGTTGTCCGTCCTTACGACGAACCGGGATCCCAAGAGATAATGCCTCCATGTACGAAGGCAATGCACCACCGCGGTCATCTCCTTCTCTTGGACCGTGTATCGTCGTTCGGTATCGTTCAACTTTCTCGACTCGAATGCTACCGGGTGTCCATCCTGCATAAGAACACCACCAATAGCAAAATCGGAAGCATCGGTCTCTACCTCGTAAGGTTTGGCGTGATCGGGTAGCACGAGCACCGGCTCCTCGGTCATGGTTTGCTTCAACCGATCAAATGCCCTTTGGCATCGGGCCGTCCACTCCCACGGTTTCTCCTTCTTTAACATATCCATGAGTGGCACGGTGATGCTCGAATATCCTCGAACGAACCGTCGATAATAGTTGGTAAGGCCAAGGAATGACCTTAGATCCGTCACCTTGGTCGGCGGCTCCCAATCTACAATGGCCTTAATCTTGGCCACGTCCATCCGCACACGTCCACCCCCGACGATGTGTCCCAGGAATGGAACTTCCCGTTGTGCAAAGGCACATTTCTCCCGCTTGACATATAAGTCATTCTCTCGTGGAACTCGGAAGACTCGTTTGAGATGCTCGATGTGTTCCTCGAGCGTCTGGCTATACACCATGATATCATCAAGATAAACCACTACAAATTGATCTAGGAACGGGTGGAGTACCTTGTTCATGAGTGTGCAAAATGTGGCCGGAGCATTTGTCAAGCCGAATGGCATGACGAGGAACTCGTATGACCCATACCGCGTTACACAAGCGGTCTTTGGCTCGTCTCCTTTTGCAATCCGCACTTGATAGTATCCCGATCAAAGATCAAGCTTGGTGAACCATCGTGCTCCTCCAAGTTGATCGAACAAGTCGGCAATGAGAGGGATCAGGTACTTGTTCTTGATCGTCAGTTTATTTAATGCCCGATAGTTGATGCACATCCGAAGTGATCCATCGTGCTTCTTTTGGAATAGAACTGGGGCACCAAACAGAGCCTTCGATGGTCGGATATACCCCGCATCGAGCAACTCCTTGAGTTGTCTTCTTAGTTCCTCCAACTCGGGAGGCGCCATGCGATAGGGTGCCATGGCGGGTGGTCGAGCAACGGGCACGAGCTCGATTTTATGATCCACCTCCCTTTGAGGCGGAAGCTTCTTCGGGAGTTCGGGGGGCATCACGTCCTTGAAAGAGTCGAGGACTCGGATTACTTCCGTCGGGACATCACTCCCTTCACCCTTTGGATCCTCAACCTTCAAAGTTGCCAAGAAAGTAGCTTCCCCTTTCCTTACTCCTTTAGTAACTTGCATTGCCGATATTATCTTTTGGTCACGACCCGACTCTCGGTTGACTAGGATCACACATTGACAACGTGCGTCCAAGATACAAATACAATCGGCAAATGGGACAATAAGAGCATCTATTCTGTCAAGGAATCCCAAGCCAATGACAAAGTCATAATCGTTAAGTGGAATTACCTCGATCTTCTCTTTGCTCTTCCATTGTCCGAGTTGGAACTCCACATCCTTAGCCAACCCGTTGGTAGGAACTTCCTTGAAGTTCACCGTCTTAAGCCAACCGGCCCCCTTCTCAACCCGAAGATTGAGTTTCTTCGCAGCTTCTTCCGAGATAAATAGATCGTATGCCCCCGTATCGACGAGTGCACTCATCGTGGTTCTTCCGATCGTCACGTCCGCGAACATCAAGCCCTTAGGCTTATTTGCTTTCTTGGACTTTATGGAACTTAGGATTCGCAACGAACTGAGTCGTGTCCCCTCTCGTTCCTCATCGTGTGCCTTGACAAGCGTCGCTAGCTTGCCTCGAGTTGGGCAATCACGAGCCATGTGTGCACCGTCGCACAAGAAACACTTGAAGATACGTCCCTTCTTGTGTTCTCCTCCGCTCGACTCCGTCCTTGCCCTTGGAGGGGCCATTGGTAGTTTGCTTCCACCTGGGCGGTGGAATTTGTTACGATCTCCCCCAATAACGCCCTTGTCCCTCGGTCGGGTGTCCGGCTTGCTTACGGGAGTCGATTTGTACTCCACCAAGGCCTCGGCCACGGACATGGCCGTTGAAAGGTCTTTCGCGTTGCATCGCTTTAACTCTTGCTTAACCCATGATTTCAAGCCACCCATGAATTGGTGGTAGGCCTCCGTATCATTCATGGACGGAATTTGGACTAGCAACTCCGAGAACTTCCGGACATACTCACGGACTCCTCCTTTTTGCTCAAGGCGACGGAGTTCATCTCGAGCTTCTTCCTCCGCATAAGCGGGATAGTATTGTCGTCGGAATTCCTCGACATACAATTCCCATGTAGTGATCGGTTCACCACTCCGATCGTCACTCCTACGACACCACCATAAGAGTGCATTATCAGACAAGTAGATAGCCGCGGTACTTATCCGAATCGCCTCGTCAGTGATCCCCATCGTTAGGAAGTACTGCTCCATGTACCATAGGAAGTTGTCCACGTCCTTGGCCACCCGTGAGCCTTTGAACTCCTTTGGCTTCGGGGCGTCCACTCGTGGACTGGCTTGCACGGTGATCACCCCGTTCACGCGTGTTCCTTCCATTTCGGCGACTTTCGCCTTAAGTTCGACCACCTCCGCGCGCATAGCCTCCACCAAGGCCTCCAAGGCATCGTCTCGTTGCTGAAGTTCATTGGTGGTGTCGGTCAGGTTGCCCAGCATCTCCCCTCGGAGTTCTCCGAACCCCGATTTGAGCTCCAGCACCTCGGCCTCAAGCTCCCCCGTTCCGGTCTCGCCTCCTTCGATGCTTGCGGACATATCCTCGACCATTCCTTGGACATCTCCCATGGCGATCTCCACCTTCGCCATGCGGGTCTCCAAGTCACCAACCATATCCCTCGAACTTGAGCTAGCACGGTCCTTCTTCGCCTTGGCGCCTTGCTTCTCGGGAGCCCTCCCACGATCATCGCCTCCGCTTTTCTCGGTTTGGGACGATACATTGGATCGTGGTTCTGTCGCGCCTTTGCCCATCGTTGCAAAGGCGCGACAAAACCACGATCCGATGTATCGTCACGGGTCAATCGATCTAGAGTTCCAAACCGAGAAAAGCCTTCCCACACTCACACTCGCAAGAACTTTAGAGAGAGAAGCTCCGAACTTTGTATTGCTTCTTGGAAATGAGAGATGATAAAATGAGGAGGAGGAGACCCCATTATATACAAGTATCGGGCTGACCGTATCCATAGATCTCTCCCTGATCTCAACGGTCGAGATCGTACTCTCCCAACTACCCCACCTACCACATTTATTACGGAAGGGTACAATTACCGTATCGCCCGCCCCCAGGAGTAGACATCAAGAAAAACCTAGTACTAGAACACTCGGGGCCCGCCTTCTCGTCCAAGGGTCGGTCATGGTCCATCGTCTAGGAAACCTCAGGGACGATCCAATTCATCAGGAGCAGTCTAGGACGTTTGCAATTTGTAGCATGAAGTACAACCAGTCAAGTGCCGAAGAATCTGACATGCATTTTGTTCGGTTTTTAGATGACCAGACTTTTGAGTTCATGTCCACTTACCCACTTGATACATTTGAGCATGGTTGCTCCATACTTAGTTGTTCCTTCTCTGATGACGGTAACGTATATTACTGTGTTGGGACTGCGTATATGTTGCTGGAAGAAAAGGATCCAACCAAGGTTAGATGCATCATGCATGAAGCCAATTTGCTATTTGTTCTGCAGATTAGTAAAATTCTAAATGTCTTACTTTAATTGCAGGGTCGGATATTAGTTTTCATTGTTGAGGATGGGAAATTACAGCGGATTGCTGAAAAAGAGACCGAGGGGGCTGTTTGCTCTTTGAACGCCTTTAATGGAAAGCTATTAGCTGCAATCAATAACGAAATTCAATTGTACAAGTGGATGCTGCGAGATGATAGTTCTCGTGAATTGCAATCCGAATGTGGACGTCACGGTCCCGAACTTGCCCTCCATGTACAAACTCGCGGAGACTTCATTGTTGTTGGTCATCGGATGGGGTCAATACATCAGGGGTCAACATCCCTGCTGATATACAAGGCAAGTTATTTTATCAGTTTAGAGTGCTTATACATTTCTGGAGTTTCTTTCCTTCATGATCTTCAATCTTAACACGACATTTGCAAAGATATCTCCTCCTGTCCGTACCCTTTTACCTTGTACAGCAGTCACGTGATTATAATCGTTAGTTGTCCCTTTAGACATGAACGCGAGCACAAGTCTGAATCTCTAAGAATTCTATAACAAACATTTTATCATGTTTTCTCAATCGGGAAATTCCCAACATCTGCCTTTGAATCTGTGCACAGCCAAATCGGGGTTGCCATGTTCATAGCCCCTGTTTCATGTGTATTTCAAAAGCATAATATATTTTTTCGAGTTGTTTATGAGGGGGATTGCATGGAATTTGAAAAAGTAGTACCAGAGGGTTTGGTCTATATGGAGAAGGTACACGTCCTTGGTTTCTCGGTGTAAACCGAACTTAAATTCAACCCTTTGTTCTACATGGAAGAAACTCTTGGTCTCGACCATAGTTTTAACCACTCTTTTGGACTTACCATTCCTTCATTTTGTCATCCAGCTTGAGGAGGGTGCCACTGAGAAGCGGGCACATGATTACAGTGCAAACTATATATCTGCCGTTGAGATTCTCAATGATGATACTTATCTTGGTGCGAAAAATAATTTCAACCTCTTCACAGTGAGGAAGAGCAGCGAAGATGCCGCCGATTGGGATAGGGGCTCTCTTGAGTGGATTGGCGAGTATCACCTTGGAGAATTCGTCAACCGGTTCCGCCATGGTTCCCTTGTGATGCGGTTGCCGGATTCCGATGTGGGTCAGATTCCGACCGTCATATTTGGCACGGTTAATGGCGTGATTGGAGTGATTGCCTCGCTCCCTCGTGATCAGTACGTATTTCTAGAGAAGCTTCAGTCAAACTTGAGAAAGGTAATTAAAGGCGTTGGGCGACTGAGCCATGAGCAGTGGAGGTCGTTTTACAATGGGCAGAAGACCGTGGATGCTCGGAATTTCCTGGACGGAGATCTCATCGAGTCGTTCCTAGACCTTAGCCGCGGGCGGATGGATGAGATATCTAAAGCAATGGGTGTTACGGTGGAGGAACTCTGCATGGGTTGGAGTAGGAAATTCGACCATGGACTCGAGAAGTTGCGAAGCCACAATCACAGGCTTATTCATTTGCCTGCAGACATAAGTTATCTCCTCTTGGACTGTGGGAATCTGCTCCAGGGGGATTTCCACTCCAAGATCACCCCGAGCAATCATGATACCATCGGAAGCTTCGACAATCTCCCCCAATTTCTGAAGAGACTCTAGGCTCTCTATCTTTGCCAATACTCTAATAGATCTGGTAAATGAGAAAGAAATATTGTTTTGGATTCCAATATCAGGAGGTTCCATATGATTGTAGAAAAGGAGATTACAGAACTTCCTTCTTGTGAACTTTATGCACCACTTCAACTTACTTGGATGATTTGGTGGAAATGTAATCCTTAAGGTTGCTGACTGCATCAGCATCATTGACAAATGACATTGCAATGAAGTCTACACCTTCAGCAATTCCAAAGTCTATGTCAGCCCAATCCTGCAAATCAACCATATAATACAGTGAACTAACAAGATTGAGATCATCAATTGCAGGCTTGCAGTGCAATTTCACCATCTAAGCAAAACAATCTGATTATTTAATGACAATGAGAAGATTCAGGTGCATCGAATTAGAATTTTCTGATATATGTTCATCTGTTGCTTTGAAGTAGTGGGAATCAGGAAGAGAGAACCTAAACCAGCATGATAATCAACTCATCTCCAGTAGTATACTTCCCAGCAGAAGAGTCCTTTTTCATATCCATCCTCGTAAGCTTAAGCTCACTTCTCAGTTTTATATTAACCACCATTTCCATCAAACGCGAAAGTATCAAGGATTCAGATGGTAATGGTATCAATACATTGCAATGAAGTGCTGAGGTCATGTGGCAAATTTTTAGCCCCACAACTGTGCGCTAAGAAATAATGATATAGCATGTGTAACACCTGGATAACTCTTCAACATACAGTATTATGAATCTCCCACTTCAGAAGAAAGGAATAAGGGGCGGCAACAAAATTTTACAAATGAAGCTCCGGCAAGGTCATACTTGGGCTATTTGCGGTTTGCCAGAACCAACTTTTCTCCCTTCTCGGCACAAATGGTAATGCATGAGAATGTAGTCTTCTCCTTTTCTCATGTTTTCTTACAGTCGACTACATAATGCAACGACCCAGCAATGAATAAATGCCACGCAGTATGTCCACATTAAAGCAAGAACGACACACTTAAATAGTCAAAGAACTACTGAAAGCAGTAACGTCCAAAGTCTGAGGAATAAAAACAAGAAACCAGGATTATGAAATCCACCTTTCTTGACAGAGTAGGCAATTTGTAATTCCTCTCAACAAGCTTCCCATCTCTCCAAAAGCTGAACTTTGCGCAAGGAAGAAACAAACCAGAATCTGTGCACTTACACTTCAAATCATTCCCAATCTTTTCAATGACTTCAAAACTTGCCATGCCTCCATCGATAACGAGCTCATCACCAACCTCAATACCTGCGAAAGTTCACGTTCAACATAGAGAGGGATGGTTAGACGTCAAAATATGTCAATTACATTAAAAGGCTCCACTGTCTATGCAGTAACTCGTACCTTCAGAAAAACCGGAGTGGTTTGCTTGGACAGTGAAAGGGCGGGAACCCTCGAACTTTTTGGTAGTAAATAACCAGATTGATCCTTCCTAATTTTCTCATAGCAAAACAAAGCACCATGAGAATAGGATTAAGCAAATTAATGTATCTTCAATTAAGATGAAGCTTAAACATAAATGCAGACCAGACCAGACAAAATTTCACAAAAAAGAAGTCCGGATTATCGACACTTCCTGAACTATGAAGCATTAAGTGATCCCTTTGTCGCACACTGACCTCTACTTTGACAGAGGAAGGAGCACCATGATCAACGACACGGATCTGACTGCCCTCGGTATCAATCATGACCGAAACACAAAATCCCTTTTCTTCATTCAACTTCTTGATCTCCCTGATCACATCCAAATGCCACTCTCTCGAGTTGTGACACATGTTGAGCCTCGCCACATTCATCCCTCCGAATCCCAACCTCTCCAGATCCTCCAAGGAGGAACAAGCAGGGCCAATAGTGCACACGAGCTTTGTCTTCCTCATCCCCAGAAACCCCTTCTCTCTCAACTCTTCCTCCGACACCACATCAAAACCTAAAGCACCCCCAACCTTGCTCCCACTCTCAGCTGCTCCCACTCCCATTTGCAATACTGCTCTAACTCCAGTAGACATCCTACTCTTCAGTTTCCCTCCAGAGCAAGAAATCATGGGCACACCAAAAATCTGGCTCTTGGCATTGAAAGTTGGGATCTTTGAACTGATCTGACCAGAAGGAACAGTTAATTCCCCTGCGACTGCCATGTTCCTGACGATCGAATATTATCGCTTACTTGCAGATGAAAATCTGGGGACCAAGTTCAGGAATCAGCTTTCGATGAAGACTTGGACACCCACTGGTGAAAAATGTATTGAGTATAGACAGATTTCGGCTTGAAATCGTAGAGTCCGTCAAGATCTGGACGTTTAATAAAGAGATAGTGAAGATTACAATAAGGGTCCGATTTCTTTGAGAGAGTACCAAATATTGAAAGCAAGAAGGTGACCACAAAAGGTCAAAGAAACCAACTTTGCTGCACACTCCGGACCAACTGCTGCCGCCATTGGTTTAGCAATTAAATTAAGAAAGGAAAGTTTCAATTAAGGACTCAAAGTGGGGCTGTTTTATCAAAAAAGGATTCGAAGTGAATAATATCTTAAATAAAGATCTGAAGTGCCCAAACTAGTCTCAAATAAGGACCTGACTCGCCGGCCAGCCAAATGTTCATTGGCCGGCGAGTTTCCGACGCCGGAATAGGGGCAATTTTGTCATTTCCTTTTTCTTTTTTTCTTTTTTTCCTTTCCCGGCGACCGGCCAGAGGCTGAAGCCGGCGAGGGGCGGCGAGGGCCAGCCTCGCCGTCGCACAGCCATGGTGAGGATTGTTATGACACAGTGCACATGAACATGCTTAGATTTGCGTTGACGAACCGGTTCATTTGGCTTTTATAAGTCCAATCTCCAATGTATGTAGTTTTCCAGGGTCACGTGGTTGGAGCAGCTTTTTATCTATCGCATGGAGTTACTAAATTTTAAAATTTTTGTATGGTTCTTCCTTTTTATATTATTGTAAAACTTTAAAATTTTGTCAGAAAAATCTGGAGGAGTTCAATTTCAAGAGAATCGCTGGCCGTTCTCATAAATATGATGCTAATGCGTACAATCCTCGTGGAATTAGCTAAATTGGTTTAGCATATCGATGCCCAGAGACTGCAAACATGTGCATATGTTGAAGGAATTCGAAATAGTTTCTGTTGATTTACCTTGTAATCAAGAGTATGCACGCCCGTCTCCAAGATATGTTACGAATTGTCTTATCAACAAATCATGGTAAGGAAGGGTTAGATTTTGAATACAGTAATTTCACGCTTATAAGAGAAATTAAATACATTTTTTGTGGTTACTTAGAAGCCATTTTACAGAAAAACAACAATATTTTTCAGTATTTGGCTAAAACCTAAAAATGAACTGGAAAATATTTTCCATCGTTTGGTGTGGAAAATCTGATTGATTTTCTTAAGTAGACATTCACTGTTTGGGCACTAGTGACTTGTGCATAGATAGCCAGGATCCTAGGTCTATTTTCAATGGACCCGAGCATAGGCCTCGGCGCCCGAGCGCAATTGCTGGGGATCCAGGCACAAGCTCTAAGGTTTCGAGTCCGGCCCCAGTGAGCTTGGGCCTTGCCTCCATGGATTGAGGCCCAGGCGCTTAGAACCCAGGCCTGGCCTCGATGTACCTGGGACATTGGCACCAAGGTCTCAAGCCCAACCTCCGTGGACTTAAGCCCAACTTTAATGGACTCAGGCTTAGGTGCTAAGGATTCGGGCAAGAGCACCAGGGTCTCAGGCCCAACCTCTATGGACACGGGCCAAGGCTCCGAGTAGGGGTACCGAGGTCCTAGGCTCCGCCTCTGTAGACCCGAGCCCAGGCACTAATGTCTCGAGCCCCACCTTTGTGGACCTGGGCCTAAGCACCAGGTTCCAGGCCCAGCCTTTTTGGACTAGAGCTTGGCCTTGATTGACCCCAATGGTCCCGGCCCCAACCTTTATGCGTGGGTTCGCTACCAAGGACCCGAGAACGAGCTTCGGGTTTCCTGTGCCCAAACGTAAAGTTTCTAGTCCAAGTGTCAATATTTAGTTATATTTTGGAATTCATTTTCTTGAATTTTAGTATAGAGTTTCTATTGACTCAATTTTCTAAGCGATCTAAACGCCAGGAACTGTTTTCCATGATACAAACAAAGTCTTGGAAAGGGGTGGGGAAATTACCCAAACAATCCTAAATCTACAGCTTGGATGTCAATTTAGTCATAAACTTTCTAATTTTATCAATTTCGTTCTAAACATTCTGCACTAAATTCTAATATAGTCCTTTCTGTCAATTTCGTCGAAAATTACTGGCATGGTAGTCCAATTATTGCTTACCATCCTATGTAGCATACCATTGCGTTAGTGATTTCTAATGAAAATTAGCCAAAAAGACTACATTGGAATTTCAAATAAAGGTTTAAGACTCAATTGGCAAAAACGAAAAATTTATGATTGAATTAGTATCTGTACAATAAATTTATAACTGGTTGGACAATTTTCCTGAAAGGGTTCTTGTTGACCAGAGCTGTTAGGACACTTGTCAATCAAATCTAATAAGAAAAGAATTTTACTTTCAAGGCACAGAATATGCATAACACAAGAAAAATAACGTTTTGAAATATTTTATGCGAATATTTACCAAGTACTTTTAAAGCATTCCTTAACATAATCCACAAGAGTAATCATTTGATATTTCACATTGATTATAACAGAACCCAACTTAGTAGCTTCACCATCTTATAGCGAATATTTCAGTTCTTCTAACATTCATGATTGCCTTTTCTCTCTCCTTTTAAGACCAATCGAAAGGCGCCATGCGTCAAGAACACGATCAGGGACAAAACGAGCAAAACACCACTGGAGCGAGTGAGCCCAGTGGGGCGTACACCGTGGCTCGTAACCAATGTGGTCGATCGCGGCTCGCACGTACTCGTCCGCTGATGGGACAAACGTGGATTTGCTCTCTATTGACGCCACTTTGGATGCCATTCTTGTTGCCACATATAGAGGGACCTAAAATATGAAGAGTCGCAAAAATGAAACAATCGACTTATAAACTCCATTCCCAACTTCAATTTTGACACTTGCATATAGAGTATAAATCATGTCGGTATTTCAATAATCAGTCGAACAGTTCAAAATACGTTAAAATCCCATACGAAACAGTTAATCAGAATCTGATCAATTCTATAGAAACCCGTTAGTCTAGCATGATTGCTAAGACACTGTAGAGATAAATAACATGAGTGAAAGACCATGATCATCAGAGTTTTGATGGCTACATTCTTCTAAATGGTGAAGTGGTTTGAAATATTTTTGGCAGTGTTAGATATTCACATTCATTCTTCAAGCTATGTAGAAATGCAAAAGGATTGTTTCTATTTAACTTATGAATTTATTTGGTGATGTATGAAGTCAGAATCCTCTGGAAATGCCGAGTACTTTGAAACAAATAATTTTCACTAACGATTCATTTTGGAAGTAGCAAGGATTAACTTTGGAAGTGATTTGCAATCTTTCTTGCAATCTCATTGTCCTTGAGCTAAGATCTTGTAAAGTTCTTATTTTCAATCTGATTCTGTGTTCGCAGGTGAAGAATAGAGTTGTGGCAATCGGTAATACTTGTGGTGAGGTGGAAACTAGAATATGACAAGGGCTAATCGTGGTGCAGCATTGACATACCTGACACTGGAAATCAACGCCGTGAAGCTTGTATTCCACATGCAGCGATCTCGACAGTTGGTCAATGAAGCTACGTATATTGTTATGAGCATCAGGAAAAATAAAAATGATCAACGAATATAATTTGAACGGTTGAATTATAGAGTTGAAGGACTGCACTAAGGTCGTCCATGTGTACTTTTAGAGTTCATTTGGTTGGCTTGGAAGCGTGAAGGCTAACTTCTTGCCTCGCGTGTAATTCTGAATCCTAGGACATGAGATCCCAAAGAGAAAAAACCTCAAGATTATCCAAAGTTAGTATCTTTAAACCTTGATTAGTACCTTTTTATTTGAAGAACAAATTCGCAATATGCCGTAATAAGTAAGACTTCCACATGGGTTATGTCTATTGCAAAAGTGTATTTTCTCCTATCACGAAGTTTGGCAACTTTGAAAGGTCAAAAGTGTCGTAGAGAAGTATTTTCAAAAATTGCTTTCCTTGTTTTTTTACTGTGTCACATTACTTGAAAAGTTTTCTCTTGCTCACTTTATCTATGGGTTCAGTTTACATAACAACATGAAAAAGGTATTGTGATATCAATGTCGTGGTATCTACAATTGAATTAGTGGTCATCGCTTTGAGTTAGATCGTAGTGAGGCTGAATGGTTAGGGAAATTCTTAGCAGAAATTCGATTCGTAGAAGCCATAAGCTTCACCATTAGTTTAATGAGTTATGTCTCACCATTCTAGGTTCGATACATTGCTCTCTAGTGGGAATACCAACTTTCTATATATATTGATTAACTCATTTAAACTTATTGACACAAACACATTTAACAACAAGTAGTGTCGAAAATTTTCAGCCATATTAGAAACATATAAATGCCAAACATAGTTAGTGACTATTCATTGTTGTAATATTGGTAAAAGTGCACACACGTTATCTGTATGTAACAAATTTGACATGTAAGAAATTTTGCAAAATCATCTTACTATAAAATATTTGAATTATTAACGTATATGTATAAATTATTTACACGATGTAAAACTAATACACACATATATGGAAATAGAAAAATATTTCAAGATTTGGACTTTTTCAGTAAGATTCTTTTGTAAGATAGGAAAGATTCAAAATTTAAAATTGAAATAAGTGAAAGGTAAAGTAAAAAGATTAACTTAAGTATATGTTTGTCTGTTGATAGGGTATAACTAATTGTAGATATTTTGGAGAAAAGAAAAGGAAAAAGATTGTGATTCCTAGAAAGCACCGACAGATGCGAGGGTAATCACTATCCTAGCTCAAACTTGGTTGAATTGAATGCCATCTTTATATTCTGTTGGAACCAGAAAGTGCACATTCGGTAGCAGACAAACAAAATTGAATGAAATCTGGCAAGATTCAAGCCAAATAATAAAAGAATTGGCGAAACCTTCATGGAATCAATATTGGTAGTAATTGATAAGTTATGGACATTGTGTTTATGCAAATTAACCCAATATAAATATGGGTCAGGTCCAGATATATAACTCGCTAGTCAGAAAATCGATTGAAACTTGTGGCCGTAACTTATCTTCTTAAGTTATATAAATAATCAGTACTCCTTTATTTCTGCCCCATGCATGTGATGGGGATGAACATGTGGTGTACTATTTGGACAACATTAAAAACGTTAGACGTGGGTCGGTCAAAGTGATCTATCCCTTGTAACCATACACGCATATGGACGACGGTAAATTACTTTTCACTTTTGGTTAAGCCAAGCCACGATCTATTAATATTTCTCACCCTGATCTTGTCCCTCGGCTCGATTTAATCCCAAGCTTTTGGTAGAGTTAGGTCCTCGTGTTGGAATATCATGTGATCAACAATTTAGATGAACAGATGTGTAGCTAAGCCAAGATCGAGAGCTCACCACATTAATGTATCCCTCATTAATCCTTCCATCATGTTGACTTAGAGGACACTAAACCAAGGAAAATATGACTGATTATGAAGGGTATTTATATCACGGGTTAGGCTAAACAAAGTGATCAAATGGCTTTATGTTGTTAATTATGAGTAATTAGATCATAAAAGTTTGACCATAGCCAACCCTGCTCATATATACTCCAAGCCAGTAGTAACATTTGTTAAGGTTGGTTGGCCTATCTGCGGAATACATGACACGATTTTATCGGTTATTAGCAAATGTCAGAGCAATTATATGAATAGTCGAAATCGGATTATTATCATATGACTATGGTTTACTAGAATAATAGATTTACTAATTATCTTCTTCAATCGATCCTTTTTTCGTTCATTTACGTTGTATATAAGGAAAACTTCTACGAAATTTGTTCTTTGTGTTTCCGTGACATGGTATAATGGACAAAGATTGAACTGGTGACCGAGCTAGCAAGATAAACACTGAGACTTACGCTTTTGTAGCAGCATAAATTGCGAAGAGAGGGTGAGAAGGAACAACGGTCGCGGCTCCCGAACCGATACTCACAACCGCGCCTCTCCTCCTTTGGACCATCCCCGGAACCACCGCTCTCGTAACCCTGGCAGTTCCCTCCACATTCACTCTCACAATCTCCCTCCACACTCGTTCCTCGACCTCGTGGAAGAAGCACGCGCCGGGGTACGTAATCCCCACATTGTTTATCAAGACGCCAATATCTAGACCTCGTATCGCCTCCTCGATCGACCGAACGTAGGACGACGCGTCCTTGGAGAAATCCACAGCCACAATCCTCGTCTCGATGCTGGGAAAGCTCGTCTCGATCTCGTTCGAGACCGTCTTGAGCTTTTCACGGTTCCGGCTCACGAGGACGAGGTTGAGCCCTCTCTGGGCCAAGTGGAGGGCGAAGGCTCTGCCGATGCCGTCGGTGCAACCGGTGACGAGAGCCCAAGGGCCGTACTTGACGAGGTCTTTGGGGGGTCTGAGGAAGGTGGAGTGAACCCATTGGAGGAAAAAGAGGGCGTGCTTGAGGAGGACGAGGAAGCCAAGAGATGAGAGAAGGAAAATCCATGGATCTTGTGCTTTGTTCTCATGAGGGTGATCTGTGCATGCCAAGTTCATTGCGCATGCGTTTGTGTCTGTGAAAATGAGTTAGCTAGAGGGAAGCGTGATTGAGCGCTAGAGCTTAAATTTATAAGGAAACAAAACGTTCAGGACAAGAGAGGTTGTTTAGACTCGTTCTAACGAAATAATTCTAATGATATTTAAGAATATATACTGAGAAATTCAACTTTTAGAAGCGAAAATGGTCATTATAGTGTGATTGATACAAAAAGAAAGAAATTATCTCTGACGAATGCTAATAATCATCGCAATATGCTTCAATTGGAAACTCTAATTTTGTCGCTTTTCAAGCTTACAAAAACAAAAGGAAACTTAATTTTCGAAGGTAACTTTGTTGAGCAATATAGCCTGCACCGTCAGTGTAAAGAAATGTTGCGCATTTGACTTAATTCACCCTTGAATCGAGACAGTGACTAGTTACAATACTTAAAATCGATGGTGGACCAGACAGTTCGTGGAAACTTCCCTTTACATTGATAGAATATGCTCTAGTGCTCCATCTTTATTTTGCTTTTAAAATTGTTGAACAAACTTCTTTACCTCCATAGAAAGAGGGGGCAAAAGCTCCTTGAAGAAAAAAGTTTTCAGAACGATATATATAAGCATTAGTTAGCAGCATAGGATACACTATTGTTTTTTTTAATCTATACTAGCACATAATCAAAGACCTCCTGTTTTAGGGAATATCAACTAGTTAATTTGTAAATATATTGTTTAAGGAGAAAATGGGTAATTTAACAATTCCAATTTTTCTCTCACATATTTCAACATTGCAATTTGAGTAATTTCCATCTCCAAACAACCTCCCTAAGAAATTCTCAAATCTTGAAACACGTTTTACATTCCTCATATATATGTACAATTATTCTTGTTGTATACTGTTGTTAATGATTTTTTCCATTACTTAATGAATCGATTCTTTTTCTAATAAAGTGCTCTACTTAATTTTTTAGATGTCATTTTTTTGCCGAATACAAATCATGTGTGCACATTTTCTAGTTATGCCGAAAAGTTTCCCTTGGGAGAATAATTTAAAAGAACGCGTGCATCTTCTAAATTTATAGTACTGTTCTCCAGGAAAGAATTCCTAAAATAGGAGTACTTCGTACTTGGACAGCCTACCGATGAAAAGTTTCAATAAATAAGCCTCGGTGTTTTTTATAGCATGCACTAATTTGCGAGAGAGTTTCCTAACTTTTTCATCTCTATCAAATGCTTTATGGCTCCAAATTTTATTGGCAAAAGTAATATTTGGAATAAAATTAAAGATCTTGACCCAAAAAGAAAAGAATAAAATAAAGATTTGTCTGCCAAAAAGAATTAAAAATTGTAAGAATTACAGCGATTCTTTTCGGCTAATTTAAAATTACAAAGATTTGCTCACGGTAGAAACTTACAAAAGCTCAAAGGACTTTGAAGCATTTATATGATGAAAAAGCGCATCTATGACAGGTAAAATTCGAGTCTATGGAATACTTAACCTCAGATGGTAAGGCACAAGCCGATGCCGGAATGCATAGTGTGAAATTTTGCAGGACCACAGTCAACTATATGAAAAACCTGAATTATTAGATGAAGGCTTTATTTAAAACTAATTACTTTAACACTTCCCCTCAGTTAACAGATGGACTTTGGCCTAAGACTGAAAAATGTGGAAATATTCCATACGGGAGGCAAATAGAGACTTAGAACAATTTGGACTTGAAAATTTTTTCTCTGTGGTACCTATTGTTTTAAATGTTAGATGAAAGTGTTGACTAATATATTTAAGTTCATTAACACATAGCCCTAACACAGTATTGTTTGCACTCAGTGACGTGGCGATTAGGATTTGCATCGTGAATCTAATCCACACATATTCGTTCATTGACTACAAAGTTTGATTGAGCATTTTGATGTCTACAGTAAACGGTTCTTTAGACATATGCACAACCTGCTCTGAATGGCGAAAGATGTCTCGAGTTTTCAACAATAATGAACCACATGTCCGAGTGGAAAAGCTACGCCGTGTGTATATAGTACTGGAGATTGCGAAATTGAGTAGTTCGGTTCACGATTCATGCAGCTCACTTGCATGTCCTGAGGAAGTCCTTGCAAGACTAGGACAGAATTTCGATCGCATACATGAGGGGCTGATGGAAAATGATGGGAGTTGTTGATTTTCACATGATTCTTCTGAATCCTTCAAAGCAAACCCCATTCCATCACTCATCAGCAACCCTGAGGCGACTTGTAAGATTGGTGAAAGGCATTGAACGATCTCTTGTGATGTGCACAGAACAGGGAATAGGACCACACAACAAGCCTTCAATGTCAGGGGTACCAAATTTGGAATGCCATGCACTCAAAGTTGTACTTTTGAAATAGCAATAGAGCATTTTCAGCTATCAAATAAATTGCGTGGCCATGATATTGAAAGATGTGCACATTTCACCCAACGAAATGATGATTAGGAGGTAAAAAATTAATGAGGTTAGCTGGAACGGTTGATGACTAGGGTTTCCTTTTTTTTTTTTATGTAAAATCAACTCTTGCGCACAAGGGTCAAGTTCATCTTCCCGTGGGTTCGAACGCAGATCATTCATCTTCTCGCATCCGCTATTGATTATTCGAATTTACGATTATGGAGAGGTCATCACTCGGCATCATTCACGGCCCATTGATCAAAAGTAGGCAAGTCCCATCACTGTAACCCCATGTTGAAGTGCTAAAGGTCCATAACTCATATGCCTAAGTGAGATGCAAATAAATGAGATACGCACCATCATTACGACCGAGTTCAAGTGTTGATCTTGCATTTCAAAATACCAATGTTTTGGATCACAAAACCATTTTGTTTACATGTGTCGGATTGGATATAGATGTAACTACGTTTCACTACAATTAAATGGCATGCACAACTCTATTTCATAAGTTGAATTACACCATTTTCTTCCCCAAGAACGAGCCTTGATTGTAGACAAGGTCACATTGCATCTTTGCATCTACAAGGTGCAATCAACACTTGTGGGGCCAATAGCCCTTCTTGGAATGTCTATGCCAAAAGTAGCCAAAACCTTTCACGCGTGTCCAGTTGGAGGTTGGACTTCAATTATCACCTAGTGTCTCATGAATACCTAGTGTTATGGCCCCAAATTATGGGTACCCGCTCATGTTATAAAGAGACTTTCGCTTGCCGTTTGCCTTGGCCTTAGAAAGTTACAACTTTCATGGAAGAATCGTGTTTTCCTCTATTTCTAATTGGAGGAAGTAAGTTTCCCTAACCAGTTTTCTGATTGGTGAGTTACAAATATGGATATCACCCGTATTTATATATGGTAAGTTTGCATATGGATAATAGCCATAACTTTTCATCCGCCAATCAGAGGCATGGAAACTCATATAGCTACCACTCTTATTATTTTTTTCCTTATTGTGCTACAACACGATGTAGAACATCAGGATAAGACTCCATGAGCTTTCATTGTGCTTGTTTTTTTTTTTCTGTCTAACAATGGAGTTCCGAGAACTCTTCAATTTGTTCTTTTAGCTACATACTTTGATGGCAGAGACAATGGAGCTATTTTCTATCTGTTTCGCCAGGTGATATGCTTGAAGTACCTAATTTGATTACGGGAATTTGCTAATAAAAGAGAAGTTACATATCTCCAGTTGACAGTTCATTATCGTGGGAAAGAAAACACTAACGAAATCATTCATAATATATGATCAGTAATGCATGAGCAAGGGAATGACTCTGTATTAACTATCTAGAAGAAACAAGTAAATAAGGTTCACATTTATAGGACATTGATGTACATATGATACAAAGAGCACTTCAAACAAGTGCTGATGAGAAGTGCATGTTTATGCTTGCCTTGACTTGCAGTAGATGCACTTGCAAGCACCTCGAGCGACGTACAGATGAACCAATCATTAGTAAACTATCCAAGTCAGATTAGCTAGGATGTTTAATTCCGACACGCGACCAAAGTCGTTGGTCAGGTGATCGACTCTCTCTGTAGTATTATATAACCTTGTGTATGAATTGCTATATCGTGTGCTTCCCTTTCCCTTGTATGCCATCACTCTAGCATTATTTATTGTTTCCATGCTGTATAGATGAAAGCCATGTCAGAGGCTGCATTGGACACGAATAGCTAGATTGCGAGTGAAGAGAGATGCTCATTGACAATCTCCGGTATTTTCTTTCCCCTTGGCTCAAATTGGATCTGTATGTCCACTACTGTGGTCTGAGTCCTTTGTAAGATATTCCTGGTGAAAGGGGTCGTCTGCGCTACGTACACCGCTCAATCTAGGGGAGAAGTTCCAACCGGTCATTGTTTCCATCTCATGAGTGTCCGATCTCATGCTTGCTTCCTCTTTAAACTTCAAGAAGAACGTGGAAGACCAGTAATCTTTCACCAAATTCTTCAAGAGCAGGTTTCAAGAAAAGGACAAAACCATCCTTAGAATATGTACTAACAAAGGGAAAGGAGCTGATTTGTTTTTTTTTTCATTTCCAAATACACATAAATAAGAACATATTGGACAACGTACCATTTTCATGAGCTGCAGCAATTCATTTAGCGCATTGTTGAAGAGATCAGGATGTGCTAGATTAGAAGTCGTCAAAATATCTTGTCGGCATCGGTAAGATATGTTAATCTCCATTGGTGCACCTGTTTAAGTTCAGCAAAAACGTGAGCCAGGAAAAGCTGAATGATCAAGCCAAACACGAATCACGATGTATGCACTCCGACCATTGCTTTAAAGACTGCAGTATAAGCATACAGAAACAAAATGGCCAGTATGAGCTCAGACTTCAGTCAGGAGCAGTACTTGATCAACTTCGACTCTTTTTGTAGCGACTTTTAACTTCTGGTTTTTTTTTTCCAAATCTTACGAGTTCACAATTTTCTTTTTTCTTAATTTAAAATATGTGAAACCTTTATTAATGGTCTTCTATTGAGATGCAAATTTATATATAATTTTTACATAATTTTGGAAATTATGATAATCTTGGGAAATTAAGAAAAGATACCTTTGACTTTTCAGAAGTCCAAGCAAACAAACTTCACAGAAATGTTCAGTTCTACATTTCATGAACTAGATAGTTCTCCTTTGCATAAAGTTTGAACTACTTTATCACATTCTATCGCAATTTCTCTGCTCGGACTAAGGCAACAAAAAGAAAAAATGGCTATAGAAATTCCGAGTCTACTTGCCAGATGACAGAACTAGACTACATATTCGAGCACACACATATCGGTTAGTATTTTCGATATAGGAAGGAAGTGAACTGAAAATGCTCCAGATGACTCACTAAAACTTGATTCCTAATGACTTGAGTCAAGAAACAAACTTCTAAAGATCACAACTGATGCTTGGGCCAACCAAACAAACATAGTGAAATTGTGTAAGTAAGAAGTATCCATTACCATCTTTTTATTGCTAAACAAAAGTTTATGTTACCATGTAAATATTATACGTAATAAAATTAGATTTCATGCATAGCTAAGAGTCAATTAAGAAAATTAGCAAATAATTGGACAACAACTTGCCCCCTCTAGCTGTCCCCCTTAACTTTACATTTTTTCACTCGTAGTTCATTATTATACTTATTTTCATGCAGAGAACTCTATCCTTCGATGCCAGTCAATAATCTATGTGAACTTTAAGATTAGATTAAAGAGCAGCTCATGCAATCATTGGGTTAACATCAAGAACAAATTTCCTTCAGTAAATCAGCAACCTGCAGTTATATACTTATCGATGATATCTCTGGCCATGTAGATTCTCTGCACGGAGTCATTTACAGGAATTTTACCAAGCTCATGGACATCATCATAGAAATGCACGCTCTCCCCAGCCAAACAACTGCAAACAAGCAAAGGTAAATGTGCAACACCTTTAGTCCCCTTAAGTCGTAATGAGGAAAGATAGATGCTTGAAAACTTTTAACATTTAAAAACTTCTCTTGTCTGCCCCAAGAATTGTGAATCTATTAAACGTGAAACACCCTTAGTCCCCTCTAGGTTGTAATGAGGAAAGATACATGCTTTAAAACTTTTAAAGCTTCTCTTTCTTTTAAACTAAATGAAATGAAGTTACTTTAATGCATTTACAGGAAATTGTTGCATCAGAAAACAAATTATATACGTTGACATGTGAGTCCCGCAGAAATTGAAGCTGTACAAGACCTGGCATTTGGCAGAGAGCTTTTATTTGAGATCAATATGAGAAGGAAAAACAGACCTATCCGCGAATGCCATGAAGGACTGACGAAATCTTTTGTTCAGAAGAAGTTCATCCAACGGTTCATTTGGATCTATAGCTTGACTTGGCTCTCTTTGCATTAGAAGACCACTGTCTGGTATTCCAAGAGCCTGACCCATTGTCTCATACTTCAAAGGTTCTCTTTTTCTTAAGCTAATTTGAGACAGGAGAGGTTGTGACCTTGAAATGGAAAAGAAAGCTAGGACAAGAATACTCGACTGCAAAAAAGACATGAATTATAAGCAAATATGTGAACTTCAAGGTTGAATCTGAATATACAATTACAGAAACCAGGGGCTAAAAAAATAATGAATCGTTAACAAAGCAAACTGTGACTAAAAGCAGAAATCTTGAGACAACTTGTAGCCATCCGATTTCTTCGTGGATTTCATTCAAAACATAAGCAGCTATCCATACTCGTGCATTGAAAGGAAGCACCAATGAGAAGATAAGAACACGCAGGGCAGTTTGACCTATTTAAGACTGTACAATTCCAACAAGTGCCGATACAAGGAGCTGAGCAATGCGTTTCCTATACAAATTTCAGTGAAAAGTAAAAATACAATCGTGTTAATTACTGTTGCAATTAGGCATCTGATTTCTGAGGTTTGATTTTTAAGTCAAGCTTCACATAGCATATTTTCAAAGAAACATTGGGTCAGCTTACCAATAGAAGCAGAGACAATTTAATGAAAGGACGAGGCAAAGACAAATTATCTTTTGAAATAGTATCCTGAAGAATCTTACCAATAGAAGATGCAGAGACAACTATTCCTCTCCAGAGATCTCGGAGTTCATTAAATTTGAATTCTATATGGCGAATTGCTCCGGTGAATGCAACAAGAGTGGCGACATACAACGTGTGGAAGGAGACTACTGGGATAACCCATTGAGCACCCATGTGACAATGATTATTCAGAGGCTGCTTCATATGAATAACTACAGCACGAAACGAGCATTCCTGTCAAAGCTATGCAAATATCTAGACTGAAACTCTATCACTGCCCATGAGCCTCATATACTTACAACCTATTTCCTATGGTGCTTGACAGTACATGATTCTGTTGCAAAATTTCGTAGTAAGACAGAACAAGAATAATGACCCAAGCAATGATGGAAACAAGATTCTCGTTATGCGAAACATGCCATACAACAGTCACTTCCGGTGAAAGGTGTAAACTAACCATCCTCCAATGCCCAGGACAAACACAACCACCCCACCCACAAGCACACAGCAGCAAATAATTCCGCTAAAAAATGCAAACGCGTCTACTAAGGCAGCTTTCCTCATTGCTTATGCAAGCATAAAAGTTCTCTTTTTTATTCTCCCTAATGAACGGTGACCTCAATTGGATATATTAACATCTAAAACTTCTTTTTTCTTCTAATTTCCCACAGACAACGTAATAGATTATCAACCTTTTCACCCGGGAAAGTATATTGTAAGGTGCCATTGAGTGCCAACAATCCTAATATACTATCAACCGCATATCAGGAAAAAGGTCTCCTGGCTTTCATTTGCAAATAACAATGGATGTATGATACTAAATAACTCAAAAATTCGGAAGTTCTTACAGGCTGCCCCAGCAAACCATGGCAAGAGAAATAACGGAAGACAGACATGCGACCTCATTGGTGGTAAACGCCTCCTGCAAAGTAAGCCATTTGGTGACACAAACTCTTTTATAAAGACACGGAGTACAGGATGTAAAAAGTTAAAACAAAGCATAAAATAACCAGAATAAAAATGTGTGGATAAGAACATAAGAGTCTGAAAGCGAAGCACATCATAATGCAACGCCCCCCTTCCTCCTGATTGACTGCAGCATGACTGCTTACCACCTCCTCCATTATTTCTTGGAGAAACCAACACATAGTATTCCCTCCCTCCCTCCCTCCCTTTCCACACACACACCCACCTCCCCTGACAGATGATATAACTCTTTGAATTTATTGCTGCAGGAGCAAACTCTAATGTCCCTTCCTTTACACTTACTTGCCAAATATGAAATACAACTGGAATGCCTGTACTATACGACAGCTGAGCAGCAAACCAAATCCAACTGGACCTTCAATCCAAACTGGAATCACCACATGTTCAAATTGTGTATTAGTCAGACACATCCAGATAATGAAGAAAGTAATGGTGACAGCAAAACTGCAATAATAACCTGCCCAAAGGTAGCAAGACTGCCACCAATGCCTCCTTTTGAATTTCAGCAGATCAACGGACATCTGCATAAACCACATACCACGGTAATTGCCGCTTTCCTTTTTGACGATCATAAAACGACTAGGCTGAAAATGTGTAGGATATGAAATGTGTGTACAACCGTACCACAATTGATAGTATAAGGTTACAGCTGGCAAAAACTTGAAACATAGGAATCCAGAAGCCGCTCCCTTTTGTCCGAGAAAATTTGTGGATAACAAAGGGAAGGATTGATCGGTAAAGAAGCCGGAGGGCATAAGACTACTAAGTTAAACAATGATGAAGATAAAAAGCACAACCCATCTCCAGTACACATTAAGAGTTAAATCAGAAACTGATCAAGACCATTTAATAAATGTAGCTCCATTTGGCAACAAAAAGCACAAAACCGTAGACAACACACCGACACCCTCTTAAACTTAGGACTTAGGATTAGATAAATCTCTTCCATCATTTTGCTGCATAATGGGCATTAGCTCCTTTTCTGCTGTGAATAATTGTAACTGGTAATTAAAAAAGAAAGAACTACTACTGCAACTGTGTAATCAAAGAAAAGAAACCAAGCCAGAAAAAATTGACCACTATAACCCTCCACCAGCTACTTCAGTTGCGGGCGGCACTGCTTACACCACCACTCTGCTGAATAATAACGGGACTCCTCCAAGTCATCGTTAGACGCATTCTGCAATCTTTCTCGATCCTGTCTCATTTACACTAGCACCTCCAAAGTCCTTTGTTGCAACCCTTAGCCCAAAACCCATACTAGAAGCACCACAAACAAGTTTCAATGGGTGGTTCCCGGTTCCATGGTGGGAACCGCCCACCCAGACCATGCTCACTCCTAGTTTCCACAAATTTATTTTGAAGATGCCTCACACGAAAAGTTGCAGACATCAATACCAGTGTTATAGCTAGTTGCAGAGGGCTTCGAAAGACAAGGACGTAGCTATAATATGAAATCGCAGGATGTGCAGTGAACTGTGAAGTGGCGATAAAAGGGGGGCCGAAACGAGGCATCGCGCGAATTGGTGAAGAATACTAGATTCAACCTGCACCAGTTGAAGCCCTTTCTTGATATAACCACTCCCGTGATTGGTTTTTTTATAGGATTCATCCTCGGAGACACAGTGTCTGCAATATGCCCGAATATCTTAATCGCCTTGCCTGGTGCTTCAAGCCTTGTCGAGCACCTGAGACTGAGCTCGGAGAATCTTGGCGACAGGCTCGTTGATGCATATGCGGAAACATGCTTTTTTAAAGAGTCTTGTATAATCATATGGATTCTCCGAAATAATTGCTCTGAGCATTTTACGAGACTGGAATTGACTTATACTCGTGTGTCTCTGGTTAAAGCAAAGCAGACCGAAGAGTCGGCACAGGACAGGGGGTAGCAACATGTGCCAATGTCGAACAAATGATCTGATCAGATTGCTAAAAACTCGGACGTGCTTCGATTTGGTGAACAAGGAGGAGATGGAGAAGAGTCCGCGAGCAACTGCAAGTGTCACACCCTTTCAACTAGAAAGGGATGACATGACCATTCTTCGACACGAAAGATGCAACCTCAAACATAACCAACAACCTGTTATCAATATATATATATCAGATAAACCAATTGATTACAATATCATAGTTTATATAATCCACGAGAAAAAATATGTACAATTAGAACTCAGCCAATCTAACAAACTATCAACAACCATACATATAACTCCCAAAAACATACCCAAAATCTAACTCCCATAAGTCCCTGCGATAGCGGCCGCTAGCCGAGGAACCTGAAAAGATTGGGAAAGAGAGTGCTAAGCAACTACAGCCGAGTGAGTAGTACATATCTTTCTAAATAGATCGAGCAACCACTATGCATGTATACAAAGCAATATCAGAACTTCATAACCTCAATTCAAGGTATAAAATACATATCGAATCACATAAGAGTTGTATTTCAACAAGTCAAGTCCATTGATCAATCTCTATAAAAATCACGTCAATGGTCCATACCATTAACTAAACTATTGCTCAATATACTACCATGGTCATCACTCAACGCCTTGTGACAAAGCGACCAAGATTCCCCTTTGGCAAGGTTTCCACTTACAAAGCCGGTGGCTCGGCCCAGAAGGATATTTCAAACCAATATACATACCCGAAACCCCTACCCTCCAATAATCTACAATTACAAATCCATAAACCATTTCATAAATCACAATATGTATCCCCAATCATTTCATAATACGTTTACATAATCAATTCATAATCCATTTCATAAATCAGGTTCACAAAGCACATTTCATAATATGTTTCTCAAACCATTCTCAAATAGCCGAAATGTAGTGAATACCCGATCTCACTTTACACAACAAAAATGCTCCTTTTAAACCATTTTTGCTTTTACTTCAAAGCACGAGTTTTACAAAACCAAAAAAGAGCATGAGTTTTACAAATGGCACCACTCACCTGTGAATACCAAAAACCAATAACGCACGAGCCAACGCTCTCGTAATCTTAACAATGAAACGAGAATCGACGTCAAAATCAAGTAAAATACTATAACGATTACAAATCAGCTAAAGTAACAAAGCAACTCATGCGCCAACAAATCGCACACCCAAAGCGATTATTCAAGTTGTTTGCAATACGAAGCTCGCACCCAAAACCCTAAAATTCTCACTCCAGCCAAACCGTTGTTTCAAAACAACTCCTATCGAATGGCTCCACAACACCATAAACCACAATTTCCATGAAATTCCACAGCTCGGCAACTCGAACTCCGCGGCTCGAATCTCACATAATTTCGAATTTAAATCATAACTTCAAAAATTACTTCGATTAGACAAACGAGGGACGCGAGCACTTATTGGATGGTGCAATACAAAGTAAATTCAATTTGACGAAACTTCCGCGGCAAGAATACGCAAAGCCCTCTCTCTCCTTTCTTCTTTTTCTTTCCTTTTTCCTCTTTCCTCTTTCCTTTTCGCTTGTGCGAGCTCTCAATTTTAAAATGCAATCCACCATGTTGCTTTATTAACTAAGGGCGCTTTTGGTAACGTTTCTATTTCTGGGAACAATTTCTTTTCAGAAATAGTTTTTTCTATTTCTATTTCCTGGATGAGTTTCTGAGCAAAAGAAACCCGTTTGATAATGACAAAAAATTTCTATTTTTGAAATAGAAACCCGTTTAATAACAATACAAATTTCTATTTCCCATAACAGAAATCCATTTGAGTGAAAAATTCATAAAAATGGAATAAAAAAATTAGAAAATTTGGAAAATTCCTAAAAATCTAAAAAAAATTCAGAAAATCCATAAAAATTGAAAAATTCCAGAAAAATTCATAAAAATTTCCAGAAAATAAAAAAAAAGTCCGATTTCGGGAAAATAGGAAATTTGTTGAAATTTTGTTCCAAAAAAATCAAAAATTTCAAAACTTTACAGAATGGCTTAGAATACCTGTGGCCACCCACTTTGAGTGAAATTTAAATTTTTTGAGGTGTCCAAAAAAAATCAAAAAATAAAAAAATTTCAAAACTTCACAGAATGGCTTAGAATACCCATGGCCACCCACTTTGAGTGAAATTTAAATTTTTTGAGGTGTCCAAAAAAAATCAAAAAATAAAAAAATTTCAAAACTTCACAGAATGGCTTAGAATACCCGTGGCCACCCACTTTGAGTGAAATTTAATTTTTTTGAGGTTTTTTTAAATTTTTTTGGGCACCTCAAAAAATTTAAATTTCACTCAAAGTGGGTAGCCACAAGTATTCTAAGTCGTTTTGTGAAGTTTTAAAATTTTTTATTTTTTTTTTAGAACCTCAAAAAATTTAAAATTTACTAAAAGTGGGTGGCCACAAGTATTCTAAGCCATTCTGTGAAGTTTTTCAATTTTTTATTTTTTCATTTTTTTGGGCACCTCAAAAAATTTAAATTTCACTCAAAGTAGGTGACCACAGGTATTCTAAGTCATTCTGTGAAGTTTTGAAATTTTTTATTTTTTTTGGGCACCTAAAAAAATTTAAATTTCACTCAAAATGGGTGGTCACAGGTATTCTAAGCCATTCTGTGAAGTTTTGAATTTTTTTATTTTTTTGGAAAAATTTCAACAAATTTCCTATTTTCCCGAATTCTGACTTTTTTTTATTTTTTGGAAATTTTTATGAATTTTTCAATTTTTATAGATTTTCTGGAATTTTTTTTAAAAAGGTGGCCTGCAGCTGGCGGCGGGGGCCGACCGGTGGCCGGCAGCCGATGGTGGCTGGCGAGAGGCGGTGGTGGGAGGCGGCTGGTGGCAATAGCGAGCGGCGGCGAGGGTGGCCGGCTCGTAGCAAGGGCGAGTGATGAAAATAATTTTTATTTCTCATTTATGTTTCAGAAATAGAAAAGTAGATTTTTTCTACTTCTTATTTCTGTTCCAAATCTATTTCCTGGCCAACTTTCTATTCCGAGAAATAGAAAAATCAACTAACGTTACCAAACGGATTTCTGTTCTTTTTTTGTTCCGGAGGATAAAAAAATAAAAAAATAAAGAAGTAAAAACGTTACCAAATGCGCCCTAAGTCTATTCATTCTTCTTCTTTTTTTCTTTTTCTTTTGGGCCCCACCACTAACTTTTTTCTTTTAACATACAAATATTACAGCAAGTGCGCGCTGCATCATCGCATTCGCTATAAAGCGTACAAACACGCTCAAAAGCTACTTGGGCAATAGTATAAAGTCGTCAGTACCAAAAGCACTTTGAAAAATTGTGATCATCCATCCAAATTTACCCTTCATTGGTTGCTCAGTCCGTTACACCCATACGATGTACTCCATGGCCCATGGCCAGCGGCCATAACTAATATTGATAAAGGTTTTACTAGCAAAATAGTTTTTGAGTTACTATGAGAATAATAATTTATTATGAGCCATAAATACTTGAAAGAATGGACCTCACAATAATTTGTAATTATTTATTATTTGATGTTTTATTGTCCCGAACAAACTGTTATTTTCACAGTAGATTAAAAACTGTCACCCAATCATTTCTCTGTTGATAATATCTCTGGAGTTTGAATTCGTGAAATTTCCTTATTTGAACTAGTTTTCCAATTTCGGTGGTTTTCTAATTTGAATATCGTCTCCTTAAAAGGAATTTTCTATTTTGGATCCTTTTTATGTACAAGAGGTGGGCTTATCGCAAGTGTTTTAAAACTAATAAATCTAGTTGTAAAACATCTCCTAAGACGCTTGTATATTAGGAGGTGGTCATGGCAACTATCTAAATGGTTGTTTCATAAGCACTGTTCTTGTTTAGCAGAGTATTCATTGGCCACGCTAGGTCTTTATGGATGATTTAATTGATTTTCTATAAGAGATAATGACACAAACAATCTTTGAATTTTGGCCTAATGTGAAATGTTGTCCCTAAACTTTTAATTTGTTCAATGTAGTCTCTGAACTTTTGTCTAATGTTCAATGTGGTCCCTAAACTTTTAGGGTGCGCATGAATACCATTCTGTGCCCAGGAACTATTTCTGAACAGAAATGATTTTTTTTATTCTGTGCCCGAAAATAATTTCTGAGTATTTGAAGGCGTTTGATAATTGTCCAAAATTTCTATTCCTAGAGTAGAAAAGAACAGAAATGCCTTTGGTAACTACACAAAATTTCTGTTCTTAAATAATATTTTAATAATATTTTGAATTGTTTAATTTTTTTTTCTTTCTACCCATTTTCTTCTTTGGCCATGGCCGGTCGCCGGCGACCCGCCACAGCCCAGGCCGGCGAGGGCGTCACGGCCTCGTCGGCCTGGTCGGTGTGCGTCGCGCGGCACCTTGAGGAAGAACAACACAAAAATAAGAAAAGAAAAAAAGAAAAAGAAAGAAAAAAAACTGGTTCTCAAAATGTCTTGAGAAACAAGAAGCAACTTTTTTACTTCTTGTTTCTCTTCCAAAAGCATTTCTCAGCACAAATTTTTGAAAAAATGTGCTCAGGAACAAAAAGTTTACCAAACGCATTTCTGTTCCCAAACTATTTCTGAGAACAAAAGAACAGAAATTTTCACTATTTGACACGTTACCAAACGGGCCCTTAATGGTATTTGTTCAACATAGTCCCTAAACTCATTGAACATTTTTATATAGTTAAAGGACTAAATTGAATGTGTACCAAAAGTTCGGGGGCAATATTGAATAAATTAAAAGTTCAGAGATTATATTTTTATATTGGGTTAAAATTCCGGGACCATATTAGACAAATTAAAAGTTAAAGGACCATATTAGATATTTGATCAAAGTTAATAGACTCTTTGTGTATTTACGCTTTTTACAAAGTGGAACCACTTGGAGGCGAAATATAATAGTGACACTGATGACAAGCCAATTGCCCCTCAACACTCTCCTCCTCCCGCCTCTCTCTCAACCGCCACGGACGGAGCTTCAGTCGCCGGACTCCACCAGTTCTCTCTGATCTCTCGGCCTCGCATCCTTTCCGGGTGAGATCATAGCCTCCTCTTGAACCCCAATTCCTGTACAGGAAGCATTGGATCAGGTTTTCTCTCGAGGACACGAGGGGTCATGGATTCTGAAGATTGCCCTGGTTTAGGAGGGCGGCCTGAGGATGAGGGGGCTGCGGATTCGGAGATGACCCATTTGGTTCCTGAAGATGGACAGCAAGTCAATGCTCCGGGAAGCAGCGCCGAGGGTCGAGGTAATTCTTCTTCTGGACGTGCTGGCGTTCTCGCCGTGGATGGGCCAGTTGTGATTCGCACCGAGTTATCCGAGCCTTAGTTTCTTTTCAAGAGGGTCTTGACGGAGAGGGTTTTGAAAGAGGAGTTGGGTAAGAACGGTGGTAAGCTTATAGTCATGGCGGTGCACGCGGTTATGCAGGAATCGTGTTTCGTCGCGCTTGATCCGCCGGCGACCGGAATGCCTGCTGCGGATCGGTTATGCAGGAATCCGGTTTCGTTGCGGTATAGTCTGCCTGAGCTTGTGGCTAGGAGCCAGGGTCTGAACATGCCCGAGAGTGTAACTTTGACGTTTCAGAGCCCAGGTCATTTCATCACTGTCTACGGATCTTTGGCTAATGCCAACTTGGGTTTGCCTAGAGTCTTGGCGGGTTTGCCCAGGGTCTGTTGTTTGGATATGCGCAGCTTTGCTCCTACTGTCGAGTTGATGCGGATGTGGGCGAAAGGCGATGACAATAATGATATGGAAGCGGATGAGGATGGTGGTTTTTGGTGTTCATATCCCGTAAAAAGAATGTTCGAGTTCTGGAGGATTGTGAAAGATTACTTGGCATTGCCACTGTTACTAGACCTAGCCGAAAGTGTTGGTTTGTCGCTCCCGTCTTATTTCACATGCCTTCCCACGGAACTGAAGCTCAAGATTTTCGAATCGCTCTCTGGTGTTGACCTAGCAAGGGTAGGGTGTGTGTGTTCGGAACTTCGCTATTTGACATCCAGTAATGACTTGTGGAAGCAGAAGTACATGGATGAGTTTAAAAGGAAGAGTAGAGAAAGCCAAGGGATGATCGATTGGAAGCAGCGTTTCGCACGGTCGTGGAAGAGGCGAATAGGGAGATACTCATATCGCCGCAGATTCCGTCATTGGTGGCAAAGAAGAAGGGAAGAGGGAGATACTCAGTTGGTCGCAGACCCCTTTACAAGTGGACCGGCAAGGGTGCGAATGCCTTGTGGTTTCGAGAATTATAGTCGGTGATTACAATCGGTTATCTGGTCTTGGGTTCCACCCCCTTTCAGACAGCCATTTCGTGAAGCTCAACTCTTGCTGAAAGATTTTGAATAGATCTTGATGACTGTCGCCCAATGGCTGCTGAGATATTATGGCACTGGACGTATATGAAATGGTTGCTGTAAAGATAGAATTAGCACTTAGCATGATGAGGATGTGTGCGGAGGTTGAAGTTTTACTGTCAATTTAGTTTGACAGAAGTCTTCGCTTTCCATGTTACCTACCGATACTGACTAATCCATTGTACATGAAGTTGTGTGTTCTTGACAATTACTTTCTTGTTTCAATGGAGTTTATTAGAGGTTCTCTTGGCAGAATAAAGTTGATTAAAGTTTTTCCTTTCCCGGCCATGAAGTTAATTAAACCTGACTTGATGTCACTGGTGCCTTGAGTGGTGATGATAGAAGTGCCTGCATTCTGGCTTATTAATGAGGTCTATTCAGTTCCAGCTAGACAATATAAACATACAGAAGCACTTGATTGCATCATACGATTCATGTTGTATGATCAACCTACTGCCTACTGGATTAAAATCAGTATTGCCGGCCATGAGTACATAGCTTGCTCTTACGACCGAAATTTAGACATCAGAGACCAGTGGTGCTATCTGGTGGCATGACGCCTCATCCGGGACATGTAACCAATTGAACACAACATTATGAGTAGCAATTACATCTTTCAAGCAATTGCATGAAGATAACAAGCCAACCGGCAACTAACACAAGAGCAACGCAGGTTACATGTAGCAAGTTGCAACAGAGATCTTCAATGAATTGCCTCGAGTGACTGACATTTTCTGCTTCAATTAATTCGAGGAGCTATTTGGGATATTCTCCCGTCGTCTTCGAGAAGCACAAATGGATCAATGTAGTGGGGTCGAAACACTTGCACTTGGGCCCTAGAGCTGTCAATATGGGTTGCTAACCCATATTTTATAAAGTGGTTCATAAATGATCAGCTCAAAAAGTCCTAAATAAATGAGTCTAAATAGATCTATTATTGAAACCCACTTTTGACTCACATGATGGTGGATTTCCATTTTTCATTGAACTTTTATCTTGGTGTTGCTCTATATTTCGTATAAACAAAGAGAAGTGAAAAAGGGCTTTGCCTTTAGAACATGCGAGTTGAGTTTTTGGTCATGGATGAGATTGATAGTATTTGGTTTCAAAGAGCATGGCAGGTAAACGAGATTTGTTCCTTACTTTAGTTTTCTTTTTGGGAGGACCAGTTACTAGGATATTCCCATATGAATTTGCTCTGATGTTTTCGTCGATCGGTGATTTCGGCATTAGCTTTTAGTCACGTGTTCTCCTTGCGCCGGTTAGCCGGGATTCGGTGTTTGTGCAAGGGCTATTTCGTGTTCTCCTTGAGCATACATCTGCTTTCTAAGTTTGCACGCTATGTGTTCGTTTTTATGCTTGATAGAAGTAAAAGTATGTTATTTCTTGCGTGAGATTCGCTGAGCTTGTGAGTCGTGTGTGTGAGAGAGAGAGCTAGTGATGGGGTCTGTGTGATGGATAGTTGCAGAGGGCTGGAAAACACAATGCCGTAGGTATAAATATGAAATCGCGGGATCCGCAGTGAACCGTGAAGTGGCGATGAAACGGGGGGTCGACCGTGACGAGGAACGAGGCGTTGCGCGAATTGGCGAAGAACACCAGATTCAACCCACACCCGTTGCAGCCCTTTCTTGATACAAACCACTCACCCTCGGAGACTGTGTCTGCGATATGCCCCAATATCTCAATCGCCATGCGTGCGGCCTCGAGCCTTGTCGAGCACCCGGGACCGAGCTCGGAGAACCTTGGCGCCAAGCTCGCTGATGGGGTGTGTGGAAACATGGTCTCCCGCGGTCTCGTATTATCATTATATGGATTCCCCGAAACAATTGTCCATGTTCAAACGGATATTCCGATCGCTAAAAACTCGGAACATGCTTCGATTTGGTGAAGGGGAAGATGGAGAAGAGCCCGTGAATACCGTGAGCTCGATGAAGCTCGAGCGGCTATAAGGAACGTTGAGAATACTCTCGAATTTGAATCTGGAAAGGAATTTTCTCCTTAGAGTAGATTTCCTAATTTAAATGGTTTTCTAATCTGAATATAATCCCCTAAAAAAGAATTCCCTATTTTAGAGTATTTTAGGTGGGCATTAGTTTTTAGCACAGGACTCGCAAGCGATTTGAAATAAATAAATCTCGTGATAAAATTTGCGAATTCTTTTGTGGGCACCTCCTAATACGTTTAAATATTCGGAAGTATTCGTGGCAACGTTTTTACGTGATTTTTTAACGGTTCAATATCACGAAAAACCTAAAACTTGTATATTTTTTTAGTCCGAACTAATTTTTTAATCACAAAATACACAAACCGGTACACATGTGACAAATTTACCATAAACTAATTTTTCGACTACTAAAAACCCCAAATTTATACACTTGTGACAAATTTTTCCTCCGTTAAATTGATTAATACTGCAAAAAACCACAAATTGGTAAACATGTGACAAACGGAGGGGTAAAATCCCAAATTAGTACACCCGTCGACTGTCATGTATCATCAAACTCAGTAATTTAATATTAAAATTAGCGAAAATTATTAAAGGGTAAATTTATCACGAGTGTACGAATTTTGATATTATTATTGATAAAAAAAATTAATTTGGATAAATTTATTATAAATATGTCAGTTTGGGTATCGGCGCCATTGGTCGACACGCACTCTTCGTGTTTTGCAGGAAGCATCGGATCGGATCGGGTCTCTCCTCAAGGGCACCGAGGGCATGGATTCTGAGAGTTGTCACGGTTTAGGACGGTGGCCTGAGGCGGCGGCGGCGGCGGCGGCTGCGGATTCGGAGATGACCGATTTGGTTCCTGGAGATGGACAGAAGAAAGCCGATGCTCCGATAAGCGCCGAGGGTCGACGTAATTCTTCTTCCGGAAGTGTTGATCTTGATGGCGCTGCGGATGGGTCGGCTGTGGTTGGCGGTAAGTTCTCGGAGCCTTACGTTCTTCTTAGGAGGGTTTTGAGAGAGGAATTGGGCGGCGACGGTGGGGAGCATAGGCTTCTAGTCGCGACGGTGGTCGCGGTTGATGCGGTGACCGGAATGCCCGCCGATCGGTTCCGTCTCCCCGATCGGTGGCCGCCGTCGACGGCGTTGGCCACGTCCGTGTGGTACAGTCTGCCTGAGATTGTGGCTAGGAAGCAGGGTCTGAACATGTCCGAGAGGGTACTTTTGAAGTTTCAGAGCCGTGGTCAGTTCATCACCGTCTATGGAGGTCTGCCTAAGGCCAAGCTGGGTTTGCGTAGGGTCTGTTTGGATGAGCGCAGGTTTGCTCCTGCTATAGACTTGATCGGGGTGAAAGGCGATGACGATGACGATGTCCTCATCGCGGAAGCGAAGGAGGATGGTGGTTCTTCGAGCTCGTGTCCCCTGAAAGAAGTGTTCGAGTTTTGGATGCTTGTGAAAGATGGCTTGGCATATTAATAACTCGAACCTTAAGTTGCGAATTGGTATGGTTTGGGAGAGCTCAAGCTAAGTTTAGGCTTAGTAATCTATTAGCCGAACCCTAGTGATGCGCCCACTTTGGGGCATTTCGGGGAGATCGCAACAGCTTGATAACTCCACTGAGGACTTGATAAAATTCTTAGTGGACTTAGGCCAATTTTATTTTTAAAAAAAATGTTTTGTTTTGTTTTGCAGGGAGAGCTGGCTTGCCGGTCCAGTCCTGTTTTGCATGGCTTCCCGTCGAACTGAAGCTCAAGATTCTCAAATCGCTTCCCCGCATTGACCTCGCGAGGGTAGGATGCGTGTGTTCGGAACTTCGGGATTTGGCATCCAATGATGACTTGTGGAAGCAGAAGTACGTGGAGGAGTTTGGAGAGCCGATGGCATACGAAGGGACGATCCCCTGGAAGCAGCTTTTCGAAAAACGGTCGTGGACAGTGAGGGAGATCAGAAGATGGAGAGCAAATGAAATCAGACTCCTTAGCCTTCCCCTTTTTAGAATTTGAAGGGGTCTCAGTACCTTGTTGTTTGAGGAATTACAGGCTGTGATTGTGATCGCTTATCTGGTCTTTTGGTTCCTCCTCCTTTCGGACAGCCATTGTCAAGTTCAACTCTTACCCTGACTGCAATCTGGGAGGATTAACTGCTGATGTGAGTCGGGATTTGAGCAGATCTCGATGACCGTCGCGCAATAGCTGCCGACATAGTGTAGCACTTAAGGTATTATGAAATGGTTGCTGTAAAGATAGAATTGGGTGCTTAGCCCTTAGGAAGATGAGGATTGATTGGAACTTGGACAAAGGTTGGAGTTTTACTGTTAATTTAGTTTTACAGAAGTCCTCGCTTTCCATGTTTACCTACCAATACTGACTACTCCATTGTACATGAAGTTGTGTGTTCTTGACAACTACTTTCTTGTTTCGATAGAGTTGATTAGAGGTTCTCTTGGCAGAACAGAGTTGATCAAAGTTTTGCCTTTCCCGGCCATGAAGTTAAATTAGAGCTGACTTGATTATTAACGAGGTCTTATTCAATTATAGCTAGACAATGTATACGTACAAGTCATTGTTAAGAGACACTTGATTGCATCCTACGATTCATGTCATATGATTGACCTAATGGATTATAATTAGTATTACAATGTGTGTATGGCTTGAGCTTACGGCCAAAATTAAGGCATCGGCTACCCGTGGTGCCTTCTAGTGTCGAGACATTGCACGTTTAAATGATTCAAATTATGTATTTACAAGAAACAGTCTCAGCGGCCTGCTTCATCTGGAACATGTAACCAATTGAACACAGCAATATGAGTAGCAATTACATCTTTCAAGCAATTGCATGAAGATAACAAGCCAACCGGCGACCAACACGAGAGCAACGCAGGTTCTATCTAATTAAGGATTTACATGGACAGGAGACATGCCTTTACATGGACAGGAGACATGCCTTTATATTACATGTATTTATAAGTTAAGGTTTCCCAAGCCTTTATAAGCAAGCCCAAGGCTCCTTCCCTAGGCGATGTGGGACAGGAGACATGCCCCCCTTGCCATCCTAGAAGCTTGCCGAAAGCCGCTCCTTGTCCAGGCCCTTTTGGCCCCGACGACCACTCCCCGCCTTCGTCGGACTGGGTTGGTACATTCTCTCCTCCTTCGAGCACAGCGTCCTTGTTGTGGCCCCACACGCGGTCGGAAGTCGGCTCTGATACCACCTGTAACGACCGGGTCCCACTCGCAAGATATTGTCCGCTTTGTATACTAAGTCCTCACGGTTTTATTCCTCCGAGGGCAGCCCATACTACCCTCAGAAAAGGCCTCTTACAAGTTAAGGTTTCCCAAGCCTTTATAAGCAAGCTCAAGGCTCCCTCCCTAGACGATGTAGGACAGGAGACATGCCCCCCTTGCCATCCTAGAAGCCTGCCGGAAGCCATTCCTTATCCAGGCCCTTTTTGGCCCCGGTGACCACTCCCCGCCCTCGTCGGACTGGGTCGTTACATCATCCCTGTGAAAGTATTTTTTAAAACTATGAGATGAATTATAGTTTCTTTCCCTTTTATTCATGTCCTATTTTTTGGGTTCCTCTCACGGATTATTCTCAGTATTAACCGAATACAGAATAAAAATCTTATATATGCAGTGCATAAAAACTCACAGAATTCCTAGAATGCAGAAATTAGTAAATGAAGTTGATGAGCTGATAGAATGCTGTCAGAATGAACTTTTAACATTATCTGAAGGAAGCTCCCCCTTAAGTTTCTGTAAATGTACTAATAGTGAAACATATACCGTAAGATTTTCACCTGTAGCCTTTGTAAGGAGGAGGAACATCTGGAGGATGCCGCCATTGACTCATCTACCCTTATGAAAAACAGCGGGTGGATCCCAAGCATGCTTGAAGGAACTGTGATGCCGAGGATCTTTCGAGTACTCTTGGTGGCGTAACTGAAATAAAATGTATTGGGGAAAGAATGCAGATGGCTGTTCAATCGTATTGACCCTTGAATCGTGAGGTCCGGGAGAATCCAATCGCCAGAGGCAAAGGGGCCTGTATTTCCCAATATGCAATCCAAAAGACCCCAAATCCCTACTTTCTTCCAAGAAATGCCAAAATGATCAAAACCAAAATTGTAATAGGCGTTCAACCACGGGATGTCGAGCCAATCGTATACTATCACTCCGAGACGGCAAAGCTGAAGTAGACATACTGCCTTCATTGTCTTTCCATCCTCCGGCCTGAATTATTAAAGCTCATTTCAGCACTTCAGCAACGGAAAAAGGAAAAAAAAGACGACTTTCCCGCCAGATTAGAAGCACCGCTAGAAATCTACCCAAGCCAGTTGAGCTTATAGAAATCACACTAAGAAATCAAACTTGCAGTGGTGACCCGTGAATGAGATTTGAAAGCCAAGATAACAGGCAAAACCCAAACTCACCGCATTCCATCTAAGTAGGTTCTTGTGGTCCCATTGAATGCCCCTGATAAGGATGTGATACTCAACACCCAGCTCTCAGAAGTATTCTCATACCCCTTGAATGCCTAAAATCATCAACCCCAGTCATTTGAAAATGTTGTCAATGACTGTCCTTCCATGTACTAGAGTATGCTCGCTAATGAGGAAGATCAAAAGTACATTATCAGCTAGCATCTGTTGCAAAACCCGAACGACCTGCGCTCCCGCCGAATGCCCCACAAAATGGATTGGGCGATCTTCATCCCATTCCATGTACTATATTTTTTGCATCTCAAAAAATTTAAATTTCACTCAAATTGGGTGGCCACATGTATTCTAAGCCATTCTGTGAAGTTTTGAAAGTTTTGATTTTTTGATTTTTTTTATTTTAAACCTCAAAAAATTTAAATTTCACTCAAAGTGGGTGGCCACAGGTATTTTAAGCCATTCTGTGGAGTTTTGAAAATTTTTGAATTTTTAATTTTTTTGGGCAACTCAAAAAATTTAAATTTCACTCAAAGTGTGTGGCCACAGGTATTCTAAGCCATTATGTAAAGTTTTGAAATTTTTGATTTTTTAAATTTTTTTTGGGTAACTTAAAATATTTAAATTTCACTCAAAGTGGGTGGCCACAGGTATTCTAAGCCATTCTGTGAAGTTTTGAAATTTTTGATTTTTTCATATTTTTTTGGGCATCTAAAAAAATTTAACTTTCACTCAAAGTGGGTGGCTATAGATATTCTAAGCCATTCTATGAAGTTTTGAAATTTTTGATTTTTTCATATTTTTTGGAAAAAATTCAACAAATTCCCTATTTTCCCGAAATCTGACTTTTTTTATTTTCCGGAAATTTTTATCAATTTTTCTGGAATTTTTCAATTTTTATGGATTTTTTGGAATTTTTTTTGGGTGGTGGCCGGCGGTGGTGGGAAAAATTGTTCTGGAAAAAGAAGAAAACAAGGAAGGAAGAAGAAAACAAAGAAAAATCAGTTTTGCAAAATTGTTCCCAGAATCAAGAAGCTACTTTTTTTTGCTTCTTGATTCTGTTCCAAAACTGATTCTAGGAACATAAATTTTTACTATTTGGCAAGTTGCCAAACGCGCCCTAAGCCATTCTGTGAAGTTTTGAAATTTTTGATTTTTTTTGGAAAAAATTCATGAAATTTCCTATTTTCCCAAAATCTAAATTTTTTTTATTTTCTGGAAATTTTTATGAATTTTTCTGGAATTTTTCAATTTTTATGGATTTTCTGGAAATTTTTTTAGATTTTTAGGAATTTTTCAGATTTTCTAAATTTTTTTTATTCCATTTCTAAAAGAATGGATTTCTGCTCCGGAAAATAAAAATTTGTGTTGTTATCAAACGGGATTCTGTTTTAAAAATAGAATTTTTTTGTCGTTATCAAACGGGTTTTTTTTATCAGAAACTCGTCCTGGAAACAGAAATAGAAAAATCAATTTCTGGAACAAAAATGTTATCATTCGTGCCCTAAGGTGCTTTTTATCAAAAATAAGATATTCATCAATTTTAGAATCTCGTTAAATTATTTTTGGGAATTAAAGCACCTATAAACGAGAAATGCTTTTTCGATGAAATCATTTTTTTTTCACGAATTAAATAAATAAATACTGAAAACGAAATGATGATTGATCCTTTTGGGTCTTCAGGTTTTGCCTTTGCCTCAATTTTTTTAAATGCATCGAGCACTTCACTTGAGCGCCTCACCGAGGGCGCTCAAGTGAAGCGCTCTCGGAGCCCTCGTTTCGCTGCGCCGTTCAAACGTTCTCCCTCTCCTTCTTCTTCGTCGTCTTCTCCTTCCTTCTTCTTCCTCGCATTTTGCAGTTCCCTCTACACTGAGAGGAAGGGCAAAATCGGCCCAGAGAAGAAGATGAGTGCATAGAACTACGTGGTGACGGCGCACAAGCCCACCAACGTGACCCACTCCTGCGTCGGCAACTTCACCGGCCCTCAGGAGCTCAATCTCATCATTGCGTAACGCTTCTTTTCCCGCTTTTCTCTCTGCTTCCATCTTCCTGAGCATTGTGTTCACAATTCGTTTGTTTTTTCTTCTTCTCTTTTGGCGGCAACTCGTGGGTCGTTGAAATTCTAGGTTTTGGTTTGAGAAGAGTGGAGGCTTTCGTCCGTTTGTTGTCGAGCATCTTTCCTGGCTTGCTTCGTTTGGTTGACTGTATGTTCCGTCTGGCTATGCGGAAATCTATTTTCTTAGGTAAATGCAATTCTTGGGATGGATGGGTTTTGCAGATTTTGGGTAACAAAGGATAGACCACTCAAATTTCTACTTTGTTAGATTTGGGATATAGTAGGATGCTGTTTTCGGGATTGGAGGCTGCTGTGTTGATTCTAAACTTGCTCAGACATGAGAAGTTTGTCTCGCTGTACCTGTTCAAGTCAGATTCTTTTTTTTTTGGGCATATTGAAGTCGGATTGCCAATCATGATCTTTTGCTGAAATCTTGTTTAGTAATTCTTAATAAATACGGCAGATGTACCGTTATGAGAGTTCATACTGCTTTGATTCAGAACTCTAGTTTATGTCATAATGTTAAAGAGTGCCTTTCAACAGAACGTTCGGGATGAAAAGCTAAGCTTTAACTGCATAGGAGTTCAATGCAAACGAAAGGGTTATTGTCGTCAAATTTTCTGAGATTGAATTTGATGCATGGATCAGCACGTTTTACCCCTACGCTATTTTCACGGGTCGATCGATCTAGCGTTCCCACACTCGTGCGGCCTTAGGAATTTCTCCCCAAGTAAGCCTTCCCACACTCACACTCGCAAGTTCTTTAGAGAGAGAAACTCTAGAGAGAGAAGCTCTGAACTTTGTATTGCTTCTTGAAAATGAGAGATGATAAAATGAGGGGGAGAAGACCCCATTATATACAAGTATTGGGCTGACCGTATCCGTAGATCTCTCCCCGATCTCAACGGTCGAGATCGTACTCTCCCAACTACCCCACCTACCGCATTTATTACGGAAGGGTACAATTACCGTATCGCCCGCCCCCAGGAGTATTCTAGAAGACATCAAGAAAACCCTAGTACTAGAACACTCGGGGCCCGCCTTCTCGTCCAAGGGTCGGTCACGGTCCATCGTCCAGAAAACCTCAGGAACGATCCAATTCTTCGGGCCGTGACATTCTCCCCCACCTATTCGGGCGACGCCCTCGTCGCGTCTTCGGCATGGAAAGCATCGATATGTTTCTTGAATTGCCAAAGAGCTTCCTCGGGCTCCCAACTTGCTTCACTCTCCGGAAGACCCTTCCATCGGATCAAGTATTCTCACTTCGGCGCACGATATCTCTTCCGTATGACTCGATTCGCCATGATGAAGTCGACGTCTTGATCATAGGAGGTCTTTGCTCCAAGCGGTGCCCATTGCGACTCCCCTCGATCCGGGTCCTCTTCGTCTACACGGAAAGGTTTAAGCATACTCACATGGAATATCGGATGTACCTTAAGCTTTGGTGGAAGTTCCAGTTTGTATGCGACATTCCCGACTCGATGCAACACTCGGAATGGCCCCTCGTAGCGACGTATAAGCCCTTTATGCACGTCCTTGTATCGGAGCACAAGGTGTAGCTTGGCCAACACCAAGTCCCCGACTTGGAATTCCACGTGCCGTCGCTTCTTGTTGGCCCACTTCTTCATGCGCTTCGAGGCCTTGTGTAGACACGTTCGCGCCAAGTCCGCCTGCTCATGCCACTCCTTGGCGAACTTGAAAGCGGATGTGCTACTCCGCTTATAGCCCGTTGCAACCGTACTTGGAGTGAGTGGTTGTTGTCCCGTCGCGATCTCGAACGGACTTTAGTTCGTGGACTCGCTCTTTTGAAGATTGTAGGAGAATTGGGCTACATCGATCAACTTCGCCCAATTCACTTGTGTCGTACTTACATAGTGTCGGAGGTACAACTCCAAGAGTGCATTGACTCGCTCCGTTTGTCCGTCGGTTTGGGATGCACGCTCGTGGAGAAGTTGAGATCCGACCCTAATAATTTAAAGAGTTCAGTCCAGAACCTACCCGTGAATCGAGGGTCGCGATCGCTGACGATCGTTTGTGGCACTCCCCAATATTTGACGACGTGCTTCAAGAATAGCTTGGCCGCCTCCTCGGCCGGACAATCTTTCGATGCGGGCACGAACGTCGCGTACTTGGAAAATCGATCCACCACGACCATAAGAGTTCGACACCTTCGGACTTTGGCAAGTTGACAATGAAGTCCATGGAGACACTCTCCCACGGACGTTCCGGGATGGGAAGTGGCTCCAAAAGCCTCGTCGACGACCGTTGTTCAAGCTTGTCTTGTTGGCATACAAGACATGTCCGTACATATGCCTCAACGTCGTCGCGCAAGTGAGGCCAAAAGTATCGATCCTCCACAAGCGTCATAGTGTGGTGGATTCCCAGATGACCCGCCCACTTGGAATCATGGCACTCTCGTAGGATTTCCTTCCTTAGCTTCCCATGGAGGGGCACGTACAACCGTTGTCCCTTGGTGTAAAGCAAGTCGCCTTCACACCAAAATTGCCGGGTCTTGCCTTCCCGAGCATGGTCAAGGAGTGCCTTGGCGGTTGGATCATGTTTGAGCCCTTCCTTGATCTGCTCGTTCCATGGATTCTCGGGACGAGTTAGGGTCGATGCCAACCCCGCCTTTCGACTAAGAGCGTCGGCCACGGAGTTCGCCTTCCCAGGCTTGTACTCAAGCACATAATCGAACTCCGCCAGGAAATCTTGCCAACGAGCTTGCTTCGGGCTTAACTTCTTTTGGGTTTGGAAGTAGCTCGTGGCCACGTTGTCCGTCCTTACGACGAACCGGGATCCCAAGAGATAATGCCTCCATGTACGAAGGCAATGCACCACCGCGGTCATCTCCTTCTCTTGGACCGTGTATCGTCGTTCGGTATCGTTCAACTTTCTCGACTCGAATGCTACCGGGTGTCCATCCTGCATAAGAACACCACCAATAGCAAAATCGGAAGCATCGGTCTCTACCTCGTAAGGTTTGGCGTGATTGGGTAGCACGAGCACTAGCTCCTCGGTCATGGTTTGCTTCAACCGATCAAATGCCCTTTGGCATCGGGCCGTCCACTCCCACGGTTTCTCCTTCTTTAACATATCCGTGAGTGGCGCGGTGATGCTCGAATATCCTCGAACGAACCGTCGATAATAGTTGGTAAGGCCAAGGAATGACCTTAGATCCGTCACCTTGGTCGGCGGCTCCCAATCTACAATGGCCTTAATCTTGGCCACGTCC